TGGGATTCTAGTAAATGGCTACTGCCAGCGGTGCAGGCAGGTGGTTCCTGCAAAGTGGAACGCAAGAGGGTGTTACTCTTGTCTGCGCAAGTACTTCTTGTTGCTAGTTCCCAAGTGGGTGGATTCATCAAAATTCCGCGGCTTCTCAAGTAGCTGCGTCAATTAGTCCTGCCGGTAGCAAGCATGCGCAAGCAGTTTTTGCCAGGTGGCTCTTCTGATGGTGTTTGCCGGCCGTTGCTTCCAGCGCCTCGCCATAGCTTTGACAGACGGGAGACCCCTGCGTGACTTGACCGAGGCACATGCTCAGGTGCTAGATAAGCCGGGTGCGGCCTGGTTGATGATGTCGAGGCAATCATGCGTGTACGCATTGTCAGCAAGACATGTGGCCAAAGCAGTCTCATGTGATGCTAGGGCAGCTCCTCATATTGTATAAATGTCTGCTCGAAGCGTATGTCTGCGTGTGAAGGCACTGCCTCTGAGTCCCCAGGAGTGGGTTTACTCTCTTGCGTTGCTTTCTGCAACATGGTTCAGATTAGCCCACTAGAGGTCTTGCTGAGAACTAGTCCTCATGCAGAAATAGTTCTCCCGCTGATGTGATGATAGTGGGCAGTTTCATGTCGCAAGTTGCGAGACGCAAGCCTTTTCGAGATGCCCGTAGTAGCGTCGCCGTAGTTATTATGATTATGTGCAGCCTTCTGCCTTCACTGGCCCGAACACGCTGCCGCTGCATTCGGGTAGAGCAACCGGGAGCCCACCTTTCATGCTTGCTGCGCGAGAGTGCAGAGTCAGGTAGGCGGGAGCAACACAGCTTTACCAGAACGTGCAGCACTGCAGCGGTTCTTTGAAGTGGCACCGGCAAACAGATTGCTCGAAAGATTCTTGCTGTGGTTCCGGCAGGTGGCAAGTCGTTCCGGCAGCTGTCCTGAGCGCACGGTTCTTGTTATGAATTCCATCAGGCGGTAAAAATGACGCAGTATGTTTTCGTGTTATGAACGAGCGACACTACCACAGTTTGGAAGCAACAGGTATTGCAGATGAACTTTGAGGCTTGCGTATCTTGACTTGTCTCTGCAGCCTTGCAGCTTGAGCACACAGAAATCATTTCTACACGCGCAAACACGTTTTCGTGGTCGTCATGACTTCCGTC